GACATTTACAGGTGATATTTCTACTTGTTTAATTTTAAATTTGGTAAGTCTTTTTCTCCGTAATGACATGGGTTTTCAGCACTTCTTAAAACGTTTTGTGTATATCTCTTAACTATGTTTTAATCTTAATACTGAATTCATATGTAATAGTGTTTTGGAAATTTTAAATATTCATACAATGTTTTCATACAATTTTATATTTTATTTTTGCTAGACCTTTGAAGAACAAAACCTGGCCTATTAGTAAAATTACGATTGGAATAATAAATTTTAGTTTTTGCAACAATTTAAATTTAATATTTGAAATTTAATATAATGAGGACAATACTAAATGGTAATTAATAATTTGCAAATCACATATATCGTATTTAGGATTTGCAAAAACTAGTTTTCAAAAAAAAAATCTTAACCAAAATTATCCTAATTAAACAAGACATATTAATATTAATTAATAATTTACAAATCATTGTCATCAAATTCAAAATAAAAGGTCTGTTCTGCGAGAGATACAAAAATACAAAAATGAAGAAATGTTATAATGGTAACCCGCTGATTCGACTTCTTCTTAAAAAGAGACATGTAAAACTTCAGTTTTACGTGCGGAACTTCGTCCCTGTACTGACCGTTGGTTGCACCTCGATTTTTCATTACATTTAACGACAATTTCGGTGATTTGGCAACGCTGCGGGGATCCTCGACCGGTGTTGGCACACCTCCCGTTCTCTTGCTAGCCCGATCAGCTGATCGTCAGCTGTTCGTAGCCGTTCGGTCCTTTTCGGCCTTTGTCACACAGAACCGAACGCCCGGTCGAAACAGATGAGGATGGATAGCAGTCGGCAACCGGCATTTCGTATATTAAAGTCGAGGCCAAAAGGGAAAAGGTTAATGTAATTTTTATTTTGCTAATGAGAGGCGAGAAAAGTCAGGCCTATCGAGCCTTTAATGAGAAGAACGGTTCGACTTTCGCGCGTATTTCCACGCCTGTAAAGTGTAACTATCCTTGGGGGTAAGTAAATTCCTCGCCTCCCTGGGCTTTTGTCCTGACAAAGGGCAGTTATAGCTGTGCTGATCGAGATGGTCCGCGAAACCAAAACAATAAATTTTATTTATTTTTTATTGTATTTGCCCACAAGTTTGGTATAATCTAGTTACCATAGCGGCTTGTTCGGGGATGTGGAACACAATTGTACTCTTTACCCATGTTGCTAATGTTATTTTTCGCGTACGTAGTATTACCGTTTGAAGGTCAGTGGAAAAATTCCTTAGAACTTGGTGTATTTTTATTAATTGAACATTTAATATTCCACACTCGGAGTACCACTACAGAGAAAAAAAAATTAGCACGTTTTCATATAACCATAATTTCTTCTATATTTTTCATACAACCGACTATATTGTTTGGGCTAACAATACGTAAGATTTTCTGCCAGTAATGTTATTTTTATAGGCTCTTTATATTATAATCCTGTTACAAAAGGAGTATTAACTACTCATTTTATTAAAAGCTTATATCGTGGAGTTATGTTATCGTTATTGATTTTGGAATAATGATATCCGCAGGATTCATGAATACAATGCACTGTAGACACAATATAATTTGTTATTTCATTATTATGGTCTTCATTTGCGCCACAATTGATCGAAAATAATAGAAGGCTCATTTAATGGTTTCTCCTTTGTCATAATTTGTCTACTCGTTGCGTTTTTCAAACAATTTTCAATCCAATTTGATTTTTTGCCGTCGTCTTTTTTTTTCCTAACACTAGAATAGTAGGTTAAAGTTCAGAACAATTCAGAATACTTCGTGTTGTTCAAACTGAATGAAACTCGCTGGGGCTGACTCTCAAACTAATCAAAACTAACTTTTGACTTAAATTGGTTTTCAAGTTGTGATTATTGATCGTACTTGTTTTTATAACACCAAATTTAAGAACAACGCAAGGAACCGTATACGTATGTTATTTCGGTCCTGAGTTTTCAAATAATAAATGATCTAGTTTTACATATCCAAACAAATGGAGATTTAAAAAAATATAGCCTTCAAAATACGTATATTATTTGAATCAAATCTATATTTTGTATTGGTTAAAAGGTGTATTAAAGAAGAACCACTATTTAATAATTATAGACGGGTGCGCTACTGGCCAAACATGGAATTTATGAATTATAGATGTACTCCAAGATCTTCAAAAAGGGTGAAATGTAAAATATAATTTGCTTGCACTTTTATACATTCGCAGTTCAAACTCGTAACTTGCATTTTGAATGATTTCTTTCAAATGGATCTAAACCCAGCTAACAAAGTTTCACCGGTGTTTGTTTTATCCTGAATCTCATTGTTTATTCACTTGTCAATGAAACTAACCAAAACAATAAAGTATTCTATTAAACACGAGCGTATTTAGTTCTGTATAGTATCTGGGCAAAAACGAACACTTGAATTATTGACAGTCAATTCATTCATTACATATTCTAGTTCTTATCGTTATCAAAATATTTGAACAGATCTAGGTGCAACGAGATTAGAATTTTAAAATACAAAAACCAATTATAGTTTCCTGTAGAGATTTTGGCGATAACCTTATGCAGGGCTGGTTGGAAACGCATTTTGTTGTTGCTAACAGCATTTTAAATGAAGGGATTTGTAGGAAGACAATGCCCCTCTCCACGTTTTAATACTGTTGTTAGATATTGGGCGAGAATAACGGAAACGTTCAATCATATCTGAGTATGACAGGATAAAGGCTTAAGTCGCTTAATAAACTGTACGCATATATATATATATATATATATATATATATATATATATATATATATATATATATATATATATATATATATGTATATATATATATATATATATATATATATATATATATATATATATATATATATATATATATATATATATATATTTAAAAAAAAACAGTTGAGTACAATTGATTAGTTTTTGGTTACCATTCATACGGAAGCAATGTATTTTTGACTTAGTAGTTCTACTGTGTTGCCAGTAAGTGAAGTTTATCATTTCGCCAACACTACCATTTTGTCGCGTCAGTGTGGCAGTTAGTTTTGGTTAGTTGGCTGTCTTCTGTGCAAAGGCAATCAATAAAATAAACCTACCGCTACTAATTGGTCTACGAACTATCGCTATAAGCTCTCAAAACCCACCTGTTTTAGCGCTTGATGTTTTATATAGGTTGCATGGAAACATCTATTAAGTAAAGTCGAGCCGATTCAACTAATCCGATCCAAATGGTACCGGCAAGAAAAAAAAGAAGCACCGCGAAGTAATCAAACCGCTTCTTTAATTGGTTAGTTTATTTATTATCGATTGGCTGTTACGTTGATGCATTACTACTACGTTCTACATGAAAACTAAATAACAATTGCCTAACCTGCGGTATGAACGAGTTAGCACGGCAGTTTCATTTAAAAACAGGAACAAAGAAACAATCGAAAGCTGAAATGACGGCGCTCATCTCTTCTTTGTTATTAGGCTATTATTACCCCCTGTTACTGGCAATTTTCGAGTAAATTTATTATCGAATTAGGTGCGCGCTGCAGGTCTTCTTTCATTTATTTTATTACGGGCCTGGGTTAAGCCTAATTACCGGCCATTTGGAAAATTAAAAACAGTTTAACGGAAATCGCTTTTTCGCGTTTTTGCACTTCATTATATAAACGTTAACTATTCGGTCCATTGTCGAGAATTCCCGACCAGAACGACATAGAAATTTTCGCCTGGATATTTTTTGATTCGTTTTATTGGTTGTGTTGTTTGATACTTTTGGTATATAGGCCGATCGATATAAGGTGTAATAATTGTTTTCTTTTAAAATTTGTGTTGGCAAAAATTCACCGTCATCTCGACTGGTAGCGTAATGTTTTAATTTTGAAAACACGTGCGTTTCTAATATCAATTAATTTGTGAAAAATATCATAACGAATCATAATCACAATTAAGACCTAATACTTAAGAAGTGCGTGGGCGTTTCATTTCAAGCCGAATTGCTCGTCACAAGTTGTTTCTTTCCATTGTCAAAGCACGAACTACAGATCCGTATATGTTTGCATTTAATTGCTTTTACTATTTTTAAAATAATAATTTCTATAGTGACTAGAATTTTTGCTTAAATGTATGCATTGAAAAATGTTATATTACATATAAATAAAATACATTATGGGGGTTGCTCAAATGATAATATTCTTTTCATTTTACAATAGTATCAATCCTGCAACGTAATACGATTGTAAATTAAAATAATGTATAATATGATAACTATTATTAAGTAAAACAACAAAATGCGTACATTTTTTTTTCATTAAATTCAAACAATATGAAATGACCATATTACAAAGCGCCGTGCATAAAGCATTAAAACCGAGATCGTTAAAAGGGACTAAATCTCGGGGATCCAGAAAATCCCCAAATTATCATAAAAAGCACAAATGCCATTGGATTTGACTTTCAAATGGGGAACATTTTTTTTCCGACTGATTTAAACGCAAAGAATTATCTTTTTTGTAAGAGTGATGTTGGGTTGGTGGCTATGATTTTTTAGTTTGAAATTTGTCCTAAATAGTAAGGGCACCGTAAGAAGGTCGGTTTTCGGCCATATATGTCAGTACCTTTCATATATATTTTTTGGTTCTGCTGTCTATTGCAATCTCCCAAGAATTTTCCCAAGTAAATTTTTCCATTATGCTGGGACATTCTCAGCGCTTTTAAGTAGGTTTTTTATTAATTGGGTATTGCTTTGATCACACTGCTTTCGCATTTTAAAATTTTTAATTAGTTCAATTTTTATCGATTGTTTTTAAATACTGGGTCCAAAATCATATAATGAACCTTCTTAACAGGATCTAGTTATTGTAGTTGTAATAAAAAGCAACCAATCCACCATTGTTGGCATATCCGTATATTGGTAAAATGAAATAATTTGCTTTCAATAAGAAGTGTCCCAAAAGTCTTCTAATATTATCCATATTTTTTGCAGATAGGTCAAATTACCAATAAACGCCATCGACGACGTTCCCGTTTGAAATTAGTTGGTTCAGTGGACGATTACCTTTTCTACACCGGCTGGCATGGGGATACTTTGCTGAGTGCACCTGAAAAATATGTGTTGGTGCTGCGCCCTGAGAAACGTCCTGCGTCCCTGAAATTGGCCAGAGAGTCTTCGATGCCCTACGAACCCAAATATTTCGTCAGTCGCAATACTAACGTCATCTATCAGTGGTTCACCGCTATGAGGCTGGCCAAGGTATATATTTTGTTGACGATTGGACTTAGACAACCATTTCCTCCCACTATTGGGATATATGGCGTTAAAATATTCAATCAATCGAACTTGCTATCCAAAGGCTCAGTTCGTCAGCAAGTATTTACCGGTCGGTACTAGGAAAGCCTGTCGTAATTGGCTAATTATTAGCAATGTCTTATTTAGTTTTTATAAAGGGAAATCCTAACCGTGAGAGGTTTTTCTTGAGAATAAAAATCTGTTACTTAGAATTTAAAAAAATTGTTTGTCATTTTCTGTCGTCTGTGGGATATTAAAAAATCCAAACATAATACATCCAAACTTAACTCGCAGGTTTCGACGATTTATTTGCGTCCAGTGTTCTTTTTCGCTGTGTTTTTATGCGATGGTGGAAATTTTTATTGCCGATCGTAAAAGTTTTAGCTCGTTAAATTTTTAAATTTATTAATACCGACGGAATGCACTTTCTGCTACATGACGCTGTCTGAAACGTTTGTTAATGGCCAAAAATAGATTTTAACCGTGCTGCGAAAAAGCAAGTTTTATTTAATATATACATATACATACATATACTATAAATAATCGCTTATTATTTTACAATATCTCTTAATTAATTGGGTTCAAAGCTGTAAGTTCGTCAATTATTTTGGATAGAATGTTGCGCCCTTTTAAAACATTTTAAAATAATGGAAAATTAATTATCAGGTGAATTGAATAAAACAGTAATTTCTTGGAGCTAAATGAAAAGGTAACTTGAAAATTTCTATTTGCAAGTAATATCTTATAACCTGCAATTAGTTATGGGAAGAGCATTCGAATGGTAGTCAAAAAAGCGATCTGTAATCAGGGGGTACCATCTCATGTGGCGAGGTTTCTATTATTCACGAGAAAACTGCGATTTGTATTTTGTATATTTATAGGGTATCGGGGATAGCGAAAAAAAAATCTTGTGGTAATAAGAAGGAAATAATCAAAAACAACAATAATGTGGCATCGCAGTTAACAAAAAAGTATCAATCAATGATACTTTTGTTATTTGGCCTCATGGCCAGGAATCCCTAGTAGATTTAAACTCTATACACCCTAATATAGAGTTTATAGAAATCTATAAGCAACCCAACAATCTTAACCGCGACTCGGGTCTTTACCTGTCACCAATATGGGAATCAGACATGCGAGGCGATGTTTATGCCCCTCATTTGGCTCCGCCCCCCCTCAAACCATCTAAAAGCAGCAACAAAGTAAATTCGGAGCCAGTTTCAGGTAAGCTCTGAAGAGGGCAACAGGATGATTGGCGAAACGTTAGTGTGGAATCCAGAAGTTTTATAAAAAGTATTACTGTAGCCTGTTGAGAAATTAAACTGTTCTACCATCCGTTTAAGTGTCATTAGAGTTTCAATTATTAAATAACATTGATATTAAAAAATTAACCAAAACAGTAAGAACGAAAATATAACGTAATTCAGTCCTCAGATTAATCCTCCGTTTTCATTCTACAATATTTATAGTTGTCCTATAATTAACAACGAAATTAATCAAAGAAATGAAATTTAAAACCAAATATCCAACGCGTACTGTCTCATATGGAAAATTATCATCATTCTCAAATAAAGTTTCATCTTCAATTTTTGAACAATGTTGATCTTGAAACATACGAACTGCATAAAAAAAATTAATTTGAATACCTGAAGAGGAATTTCGGCAACTGAATCAATGAAAAACCTTGTTTGGTAAATACGAATGGAGTCATCAAGATAATGTTGGTTATTGCTCTGTGTCCGCTTTGATTTGTTTCGCGAAAGCGGGTTCCTTTTATATACGCAAAGGAAAGCTTTAGACCGGGAGTCGGTGTTTCTATTGACAAATACAAACTGCAACAGTCGGTACGATAAATCAAAAGAATTTTTTTTTCTCTAAATTGGGTGTTATACGTTAGTGCTGAATTGAAGAAACTTAATTTTTAGAAAATTGGTATACTCATGTTTTAGAATTTATAAGTATATTTTTTTACCCTGTAAGGTTGAAACTAGTTTGACTTCATACTATGGGCCAATATCCATATTTAAAGCACTTTAGATATTGGTTTTGGAATATTCTATCTTATTCAATGTACGAAAACCAGAAATTTCACAAAATGCGCTCTGAATGTTTCCGTGGGAATTGTTCTTTTTTTTTATATTCACGTCTTCCGTCAAGAATTTTAATATTTTTATCCGTTTCGAAACCATTGAAATCTTTCGATAACCATCATATAATATTTCTAGCAGGTAGTATAGCACCGTCGCGAAAAGAAAATTAATTTAAGAGCTACTACATAAGAATAATTCATACCACCTTAACGTGACCTCATTTTCGATAGACTTCAGCGTTGCATTATGCATGTTTTCTTTCAATCTAATCAGGGTTCTATAATGTTATATCTATTGATAAATTATTCAAAAGAGTTTTATTCCTCGCTAAAATAATGTTTGGGCGTAGCTGCGCTAGTTCATTTTGGGGTGGGGTACGAATATGAAACTGTAAAACAAAAATGTATAATATCAACTTTGGCGTAATTGTTTTAGAACTGCGACGCATACAAAAAATTGTATATACTAATTCCTTGTATAATTTATAATTCCTTCGATTTCCTTTCGAATTGTGTGCGGAATTCTTCTAGCCCTTTCAAAATTCATTTTTAATTCTAATGCGGCTTACCACTCTTTGGCGCACCTACTTAAAACAACCCGCCAGTGCTCAACCGCTGGCGGATGCACACCACCTGCCGCCGTCTGCCACCAATACCTCCCTCTATTCATTTTGGACTGTTACCACGTAGGAGTGTGTCTTATTTATTTATTCATTAGTTTGGTTCGTCGTTTAATTAACTTCTTAGTATCAGACGGCACAGTCCTCTAGAACGAAAACAAGATCAATGATTAATATTAGATTTAATCACCCCAACACACAATAACGTTTCTCACCCTAGAAATCCTTTAATTTTCACAATTGAAGTCGATATTTGAAATAAATTAAAATTTTGACTTATTATTAAACCATTCAAAGGTTGTTTGGTTACCGCCTTGCGACATGTGAGATTTTAAATGTTTATGTAAGTTTATATGGTTTTGGCAAAATTGAACTCAAAATTCTAGGTACATATTTTCTGGATTTCTGCCGGCGTTTCGCAAAATATGCTACTGGCTTCTTCAGAGCGCTGTCTAAAACTGACTCTCTGAGGAAAGCAGCAGAATGTATGACGAAACGTCAGCGAGACAGAGTCAACACCCGACACAGAATAAATCCAGAAGATATGTACTTAAAGTTCCATAGCCTGCAGAAGTTTATTTGAAAAACTTCATTTCAAATTGTCACATTTTCCAACAATTTTCCAAGTTCTATTTTTTATTTTATTATTTTCCTAGCCCATAATGGACCCCAGCCAGGGTCTATATTGCAAGAAAAAGAGGTTTTTTTTAATCGAAATAACACTTTTGTTAGAGGACCAACTGAACTTCTATGACGTTGCATTAAAACATTTCTCACAAGTATGTTTTTTTGTTAATTATTTTTTAGTTTACTCATGGCTTACCTTATAAATAAACTTTAAAAAATCTTACCTTTTCAAGATGAAACCAAAGCATTGAAATCGGAAATTTTAAAAAATTGGGTAGGGTATTATGCTCATCTATTGTGAATCCGTAGTTCGACATAGCATATTTTGGGGTAGTGCTTGTGACATAAAGAGTTGTCATTGTACAAAAGGGGACTATAAGATCAATTTAAAAAAAAACAGGATTTTTGTAGAGGCAGCTTTAAGCAATGGCAAGTACTGACTGTGTACGCAATCGGTATTTACGAATGTTATATTTATATTCAAAAAATGAAATGAGGTCACCGGAAATATATAATTATAACACTCGAACATACATTCACGACTTAATCAACTGACAAAGAACCTCATTAAGACTGCATTAAGATATATAACTATCCACCAAATTCAGTGAAATCAGAAACTTTAAGAAAGCTGTCAAGGAAATGTTAGTAAGACTACAACAATATTTGTTTAAATAATACTTCGGTTGATTATACAGTGAACGACCAAAGTATACAAATGGAACAAATTCATTTAAAAATGCGGCTCAGCACATGTAGTAAAGTAATTTTCTTCTTTTAATATAGCCAAGGCTGTTATCCTCCACTTCTCATAAAATGTTGAATCTTGTGTTCTCATTAGTTCTTCGAAGACTTGGCCGGATACGATCTTTTACATGCTCTGTATTTATAAACTTTCTCTCAATTTTACTCACGGTTGATCTTGTAATACGTCTTTTTGAATATTTTCCGTTAAACAAATTATACACTTCATGAGTTCTCGTTTGATCTCGATATTCAATAAAAATTAAAATTTTAATTCTATAGGTTTCGTTTAGATGCGCCATGTTCACTTTCTTTACCGACAGAAATGTGTAATATGACAATTTAAGAAACTTATTGGCACTAGTTACTTACCTTTTCGTTTAAATTTTGTTTTATTCTTTTGCTCATAAAAAGCAAGATATAGGTATAGGGTATGATACATGAATTATGTCGGAAATTTGACACAGAATTCGTAAATGGATTTAAGAAAATGGTGTTCCATTTAAAAAAAGAACTTGGTACGATACCTAGTTTTCGATGCACCCTGTATATTTTCTGTTTACTGCTAATTTAGCCGTTCATTGGATTAATGGTTGTTGTCGATATTATTTCATTTGTACATTTATTTTTGTAAAAGTTTTATTATTATTATCAATATGGAGAATATATATTTTTTAACTCATTTCTGTCGTGAAGACATAAGTGTTAAATATTGAAAATTTTGTTGTGATGCCCATCACAAAACTGTTATATTTCAATTTTGTGGACTTTAAGAAAAACTTGTTTTGAATTTTTTTTCTTAGTGCCTTAGTGATTATATTTTCATTTTCATTGTGTCATAAATTAAAGATGAACTCTTTATGTTAATTTTTTGTATTTTGTATTGCATTTCGGCAATTTATCATATAATCTTGAAATTTTTTAAAAATAAAACATGTTTCTGTGAAGTAGAAATAATATATAATAAATATAAATAAAAACCATTCCAAAGCTTATATAGTCCTGCTTTAATTATGACCTAAAAATCCTTTTATATATTGTTCCTACTGCTTAAGACCACGATAATGCCCTTAGCAGCTTAGGGAATAAACAATATTTTTGATATCCTGGTTATCATGAACCATAAGCTGGCGCACTATAGGTAATTATACACACGTCCACTGCGAGATCGCTATAAGGTTCAAAGATCGACACCCACACACAGCCGAACAGACCCTCAAACGGGTGTAATAAAAGCAGAACGCGGGGGTTGTGTATGTGTCGACGCGAAGTTAGCCGTCGTTTTTGAGAAGATCAGTTTTATTGGGACGTCGAACTCCTCGCGGAAATAAAAATGTTAATAATTTAGATTTCATTTCTATGAAATAAAATTTGGGTCGCAAATGCGAGGCATCTCGACAATCCGTAAAATTAGAACCCTGCGATGTTGGCGAACTTGACGTTCAAGAGCCATAGAACATAGTTCATGATACACGTTTTCGTCAAAATTTGATTAGGCTTTTTGTTTCAAATTTCACTAGACCACTGGATTTACAGTCGTTGTATTACCCGAACCACCGTATGTACTATTTGAGATAGCTGTCCTTTCACTGGATGTTAGCGACCTCATGTGTGAACTTATAACGTCGAATAAATAGGGAATAAAAAGGGAAATAAGAAGTCAAACAGAGTCATCCCCTCAATCGAAAGACTTTTCACGACAATAATAAAAGAAAAAATAGAACGGTATATGGATGATTTAAGCGAAGAACAATCAGGATTCCAGAAAAGTAGATTATGCCTGGACAATATATTTATTCATTGACTTAGAAAAGCGTATGATGGTGTTCCCTGGAAACAATTATGGGAAGTTAGGAAAGGAATGAACGTTGGAGAAAAATGGATGAATATAACGAAAAGATTATATAAGCGCAAATAAAAGTAGACAATGAATTAACGAAACCAATAGGACTAAAACAAGGACAACAACCTGCAGAACTAGATTTGAGTTTAGAGGGCGAAAGTATTAATAGCTGCCAAACTTTCAAGTATCTAGGATCGACAATACACCAAGATGGTACATGGTACAAAAGAGCACTTCATAAACTGATAGGGAACAATAGTCTTACTAAAGAAAACATAAAAATGAATCTTCCAAAGCATAATACAATATATCACCTTGTATGAACTTGGACTTAGACTTTATGAGTCACAAGAACTGACAAAATAAAAACTCCAGAAATTTGGCAACGAAGGAGAATAGAATGCTGGATAACAAGGGAATTAGAAAAATTAACATTATAATGGTATTTTCAGGTACAAAGAATGCCAGAATGCAGGTGGCCGAAACGAGTACTGGAATGGGAACCTCCAAGAAGAAGAAGCTGGGAGACATACATTGGACATGCGATGATTGATAGAGATCTGAGAGTAGGGGACTGGAGTGTAAGAGAACTGTGGAGTATAAACGGCGAACTCGTAAAGGAAAATTCCGAAGAAGAAGAAGAAGAAGAAGAAATTAAATGAATTTATATTTTGGAGTTCTGCTATAGTCTTCATTCAGATCCATGCGTTGTCGGGTGTTTCTACCCATTCAGCTTTAACATTCTATTCTAGTGTTGACTGTAGTATGTTATATTTTTCATTTGGAATTATGTGTCCCAAGAACGAGGTTTTCTTTTTCATAATGATTTTGACTTCTTCATTTGTTACTTTATCGTTCAAGGGTATTTTTAAGTATGGACTTAATAAAAACAAAATTGTAAATATGTCGGAAAATAAAATAATAATAATGAGGTGCGATTTATTTATTTTTTTCATTTCTTCTCAATATTTGAAATACTCTGTAATTGGTAATTAGTAATTTTAACAATAACATAATGTTGTACAAAATGTGTTAGGAATTGTCGGTCGAATTCAATTTTGGGAACTATACAATTATATAGAAGTCCATAAGAAAAATCATAACTTTAGTTTCTTATTTTGGGACATCCTGTACATTCGTTTGCGCTAGCACCTTCGAATTTTAGACATTGTATACATTTTAAGGTCGTCAAATTGAAATTTCAAATACAATACTATTCTCTGTTCTATTGTCGCCCATTGGACGTTCAGCCATTTGCACGAAATACGAGCAAATGCAACTTCGTGACGTCGAACGTGACGATCTTAATCTTAATTAAATACCGGACGATATCGATTTCAACATTAGTAAGGGCGTTACAATACCTCAAATTTCTAAATTAAATCAAATTTACTATCGATTGAGTTACATTCGCATAGTTTTGACCATTCATGGTATTTTATATATTTTATAAAATATAAAGATTTATCCATTACAATGCTTATGATAATGTAATAAATCATGAAGATACTTTTCAGAATTGACACCAAAACAACTTAAACTGCATATTTCGAATCGTTATACAATTTCTCGCTTCTTATTACTGATCCGCGGCATTCTCCCCTAAAGAAACCCGTACGCCGATAAATCTGCTTTCTTTCCAACATAAAAATAGTATAAACGGAAAAAAGTGGAAGATAAAAACAACCACTTCCGTTTGCTTATCAAAATTCAAAAGAGCACGCTGCAAAATTATACGTAAATTACGGTTTTTATGGTCAGTGAAAGTCATTCGCGTTGTTTTTTTTTCCTGCGAAATTAAAATAATTACATATTTGTTAAGATAGCAGTAACGCAACATGCAAGGGTTTTATGCGTGAAAGCTTAAATAAACATTAAAATTGCTTTTTTGCCATTGCTGTTTTTTTCTTTATTTAAGAATATCCGTTTTTGTTTTATTTCTCGTTGGTTAGTTAACAAAATGGAAATGGACTTAAGCTGATTCCAGCATGGGCATAGGGTCAGTGTGATAAATTTTGTAGTAAACGCTACTCCAGGAAATGTTAATCTGTCCTTTACGATTAAATCGATCGATCAGCTAAAACTCAAACATTTTTCAAATGAATCCTGCAAATAAGGAAACAGGGCTAATGGTTTTTAATGTTACTGTGACAGAAGAAAGTTTTATGAAGCTGGCGCATTTCGTCTTTGTATTTCAGAGTTTTTTTTGTTTCAGTACGGAAAAATACTTAAAGAAAATTACGAAACCTTCAAGCGCAAATCAAAAGAGGGCAATGCATCTCCCGAGCGTTCTCCTGAGGTAAGTTTAATTTGTTTTAGTATTTAGTTTAAAAACTTGCAAATAAAATTAGGTTTTAGTCAGCCTATCAGGCCTATCTCCGCGCCTATGAAAATAATTAATAGAAAACCACTCTTTCGATAATTAAATGTGGATTTAATAAAAAACGTGCGCATTACAGTCTTACCGAATTGACTAGTTGACATTTTAACTATAAATTAATTTTAAACTAAGCATTCGCGTTTGTGAGGGAGGTCGTTTTAATTAATTTAAATAATAAAATATATTTATTGCAATTCGTGCAAACTAAATTAAGATAATATGCGTTATTTAAATTTGCTTGCTCTTACATAACAATTCCAAAAATTCTAATTATAACTTAATAATAAATTATTAGATGTTTGAAAGAAAAATAGGACAAACTATTTTTTTCACACCCTACATCTCCGAAATGAAGCATTTTAGGACATCGGTTCATAAGAACTTTTTTACTTTTTTTTTGCTTAATACACTGTTAAAGTTTCTCCATAATAATTATATTAATACATTGCTTGATTTTGTGTTTTATGCATTCCTCAGCACAGTTGGAAATCAAAAGAGTATTTGCTAATTATGAATCACATGAGAGAAGGGATTACCAAAAACAGGACTACATCAACTACTAATTAAAGTAATTTAAAAAAATAACCTAAAATAGGACGGTTGTGATGGCTTGAAAAGATGAGGACTTTCATTTAGAAAATTTCCAAATGACCCTATAAAACATATATTTGTGACAGTGGATGTATAATATATTTTTTTTAATGAAACAAAATTTAAATAATACAAAACAATGGCCCTATAAGCGGAATCCAAAAATGCAAAAATTACAACGTGTAAAATGTAAAAGTTCGTTTTAGGCCAGGTTGAAAGTTTTAGCCTATATTAATTAAAACTTCTACATTTTAAAGAACGTTTTGGAATGTGTTTGGGGTTCTGGAATTGTAGGGTCGAATCTTAATAATTCACCGAACCCTCCGGATCAGCGCTGCCAAGGACACGCACTCGCTCTCGACCAAGAGTCCGAATTTTGCGGATTTGTTTTACTCTCCCAATACATGTATCCCTGGATACTAGGCTGGCTAAAGGGAAAGTCTCCTGTGCGATTCGGTAGGGGTTTAAATCCCCTAGAAGATTTTATTTTCCCGCGTTACTACGTATAATATCCAGGAGCTTGGTTCGCTAAATTCAAACTCTTTTTCTTTAATCTTTCAAAATGTTTTGAAATATTTACTGTATTGAAGGAGTGTGTTATCCTATTGGTAATAAAATAAATCAACAAAATTAAACTTTTTTTTTCATAATTAGACATTTTTGACAACTTTTTAGTTAGTTTATTATTTCCGGTAAAGTCATTGACAATACATTAAAATTAATTCAAAAAATATTGTTTTTTTAATTAACAAATCTTAGTTTTAATTACTTATCCAGGGTGTGATTCTGTTAAGATATCTGATTTTCAATATAGTTATTTCAGTTTAGTTCAAGTTATTTTGCAGACAATTACTGCTCCTTTATTTATTGATATAACTGTAACGAAGTGAAATTTTGGGCATACTATGACAAATTTAAAAAATATATTTTGGTTAGTTTTATATTATGCAGGATAAATTAAAAAATAGTTATTTCGTGACGGGTTAGTAATAATAAAGTTTTGACAATAGCGCCAGTTCACCTCATTTTCCCAACAGAAAATTCATTGAGCTTATGTCGGCAAGATGAAGATGAAGTATTTGAGTTTTACACAATAACCGCCCGATGGCGGCTGCCTAACTCGATACAATACTTGGAAATCAATTTAAACATTTACGTGTTCAAGAGCTACAAGCTTTAACGATCGATTAACCTTTGGGCATGCGGATATTCGATGCATTTTTGAACCGATAACCAGTTTGTATATAGTGTTTTATTACACAAAAGAAACACTTAGACTTATCCCAAAACATCTGAGCAACATTTATTTATGGTTAGATAGGAAATTTGACTTTATTTATTCTTTTCTTATACCACTGTCATATTTTTATTATTTTTTCCTAATAGAAATATACTTTTAAAAAAAGACACAAATATTACCTAGCTAGACATTTTTTTAGTAAGTGTTTAAGGGTGTAAGTGTGTAAATTCACTTTTTTCATTCCATTCTATTTTTGAAAGTTCCTCATAGTCAGATTTTCGATTTTGGTACTTAGGCATCTTAATTAAGACTTTATTTATGTTTTCTACAGGGTATCACTAACGGGTCCCCTTTGATATAATATTATCAGCTGTCATAATTCCATCGTTTAAACCTCTACTTATAGAACAATGTGATGATATCCCGAATTTTTTGATCAAGCGCGTCTTACTATTCATTACAAAGCCATTTACCCATCTAGTAAATCTATCCTTTTGTGAAAAGGAAAGATTATTCCATTACGTAAAAAAGGCAACAAAACAAATGTTCAATAATTACAGACCAGGTACAGTCCGCATGGTTTTCTGGAAGTTGTTTGAGTACGCATATTTGCAACGACTTTTATGTTATATTGAAAACAGTACAATACTATCCGATTAAAGTTCGGTTTTCGAATTGGGAGATCCTCCATAAAATCCTATGAGTGCCCTGTTTGGGTCTTCTGTGACCTCAGCGGGGCATTCGATTGTGTAGATCACGAAAATGGTATAAAGGGTCCTCCATTAAAATTTCATGAGTCCTTTTTATCTTATAGGAAACAACATGTTAGCCTAATGGTATAAAACATGATAATAACGGGAGTCCCTCAGGGCTCTGTATTAGGACCAGTACTTTTCCTCTTGTATATTGACAGTTTAGAGAGTTTGCGTGGCTCGAACGACTTCGAAAAAACAGCGTTTAAAAAGGTTGCTGATGACTTCACGATATCTATGAGGAGTAGGTGTGATTTTTGCTTAGAAGACAAATGTTTCGTGGTTTTGCTTGAGGTGAACTCTTATACCTTAATCCACTAAAAACATATTTTTTAAGTGTCAAAAGGCATGCGATCGGTACATGATGTAAAGTTTCTTGAAATACTCATAGATAAAAGCATGAATTTTAAAACTCTGTGCTCTTCTGTGGTATGTGTGGTAATTTATATACATTTAAAAGAATGATTAAGGAATATCTTGTTATTAAATAATGCTCAGTAGATGAGCACTATAGTTACTCTTTTTCCTTCCTTGTGTATAGATTACTGTTTGTAGTCTTTTTTGAAAATTTCCTATATAAACAGTGCGGTAAACGGTATTTCACTCACGAGTTTTGAGTGAGGTGAATTCAGTTTAACGATAATAACTTATACCTTGATTAACTAAAAACAACTTGATAAGCTTCCATCATAGTCAAAGTTTCTTGGAACATTCATATATAAAAATATGAATTTTAAAACTCATTGCTTTTCTGTGGTATGTGTGATAATTTATGTGCATTTAAAAAAATGATAAATGAATATCTTGTTATTAAATAACCTTTGTACTCAGTAAAAGAGCACTTTAGTTATTTTCCTTCCTTGTTTATAGTATTAGATTACGCGTAATTTTATTTTATTTTCTTTTTTTTTGACAATTTCCTTATAAGCATTGTATTTCTCGATTTGAAAAATAAAAATTATTATTATTATCTTCTAATATTATTATTATTATTATTATGACTATGAGGTGAACTCAGTTTAATGATCTTTTATAAACTTCCATCATAGTCAAAGTCAAGTTTCTTGGATTGGATGTTATTAAAAATGATTATTAAATAATGTTTGTACTCAGTAGAAGAGCACTTTAGTTAGTCTTTTTCCTTCCTTTTATATACTGTTTGTAGTCTTGGATTATGCGTCATTTTATTTTATTTAATTTTTTTTGACAATTTCCTATACAAGCATTGTATTTGTAGATTTCAAAAATAAAGATTATTATTATTATTATTATTATTATTATTATTATAAGTCATGGCGATGGTTCGACGAAATGATGAGATGTAAACCATTATTTTTTCCAAAAAAAAAACCATTCGGGCCCGGTCTATCCAACCTGCATGATATAAATCGTATACAACGTGGCTAATTTATGAAACGATCCATAAAACGCGACATTACTCACACCATCGTCTCAGGGGAAAACCTAAACGAAATATGTCAGAGGAACTGTTGTGATCTAATATGGGCCCCAACCTTCATCAATATTAATCACAGTTTTATTGGTTTAACACACCTTCGATCCCCTAGAAAACGAAAAAAAAAATCTTTTTTCTCGGGAACATTCGTTATTAAAATTCAGAGCGGACAAAACTATCAATCAAGCGCGGGTTCTTGCAGCGTCGACAGCCCGCCTGATAGATGGTGTTGCTTTCAGTTCTCGTCGGCGTAAATTTATCTACGAGAACGAAAAAAAACCAGTTCAATAATTGAATTAAAAGCTTATTGATGCAGTGACTATGCAACACGATATTCGCGGTCGGAAATTTATTGTACCGCCGTTAACCTCAACCTCAACTTGCTTAATTATAATATAATTTGCCCGAATAATGTTTTGAAACACTATTATATGTACTTAATTTAATATGATCGTATGGTGAGACTAAAGGAGAAGGATTACAATAGGTTTAAGGTCTCGGGTACTAAGAATCATTGGTTATATTACAAACAACTGCGGAACTCAACAAATATCGCAATACAGCATGAGAAGAAACATCACATAGAATTTTGGTCACGTAGCGGTGATCCCAAACTTCTATGGAACGGGCTAAAACATGTAGAAATTCTTCAGAGTTCAAAACAAAGCAGCGCCCCTCCAGAGAAACTAGATAACTCCTTTTTTAAAATACTCTGGTGTAGCTGACTCAGAGATTTTGAATTATTATACGCATAACAGGAAAACCACTTTCCAAGAGCCTTTTCCATGTAAAACAATTACAATTGAGGAGACCAAAAGACACCTCTATAGCATGAAATCCCTTGCTATTGATGCAGACTCAGTATATATCTCAATCAACT